CCCCCCCCCCCCCAGGAAAAAGTCCTCAACAGCCACGAGTTCTCTTAAGGCACCCAGGCCTGGGGCCGGAAGGCCAGGTGGTGGTAAGGGGCATCCGGGGACTCGCCAGGGGCCCTGGAGTCACACGGGTCTGTACTGCGGTCCCTGCCTGCCAGGGCAGCAGAGCCGGGCTCCAGCCTCTCCGCTCTGTGTGGGCCACACCCTTCCCCGCTGGGTCCCCGTCAGGCCTTTTGAAAAAGAGTCCAGTGAGCGGCGGCAGACAGGTGTATTTCGAGGTCTTGCTCCGCGTCCCCGAGCCATCGTCATGGAGCCTCCGGGTCTTGCCCCGCTGCCAGCCCCCCACCCTGCGCGGCGCTGGTCCCTTACTCCTGCTGGTCCCTGCTCATCTCAGGGCTAAGCTGTACACGTGATAGATCTCATCGGGAAGGTTCTCCTGGCGCTCCTGGGCTAGCAGGCTGAGGCCCGCGCTGCGGATGATCCTGTGGACCACCTCGAGGCCCCGGCACACGCTGCTGTCCACGTCATCCAGGATCACGCCCTCCTGGGCCATGTTGTCTTTGATGACAATGATGCCATTGGGGCGCAGGCCCTGCTTGCAGCGCCGCAGGAACTCGGCCAGGTGCTGATCAGTCAGGTGACCTGGGGACCGCAGAGGCTGGGGTCACTAGGGAGCGGCACAAGTGTGTACCTGCCACTGGCCGTTCCCTTCAGCTTCCCGACTCACTGAGCTCGCCCTCTGTGTGAACACAGCCTCCCTGGCTCTCGGCAGCCCGGAGACGTTTACCAACCCCCAGGTGATGTAAGAGAAAACCGGCTCAGAAGTCACCCACCCAGGGCAGTCACAAAGCATGCAGCTGGGATCTCACCCTCACTGGGCGACTTCTGGGCCCTGCCCAACCCCACGCTCCACCCACCCCCGTCAGGCCTGGATGGCGGGAGCACACCGGAGTTCCTTCCCTTCCCTGCCCTAAAACTCCAGACAGGCTTTTTAGAAGCCCAAAATACAGGGCCGGGCCCAGTGTGTCCCTGGCAGGTCTGGAGTCCACCGCGGAACGGGTGGCCAGCTGCTGGTACGGTGGCCTGCGGCCGGGTCAGCAGCCCAGGAAGAGCACGTGGGGTGCGCCGTTGGGCTAAGTGGGTGCGGGAGGGGGCGGCAGGGCGCAGCTCGCTCTCTGAGCAGCAGGGACAGCCACGGCTTCGGAGCTTCCTCTTACTAAACACTGGGGTGCCTGGGTGGCTCAGTCAGCTAAGCGGCCCGACTGGATTTTGGCTCAGATCATGGTCTCAACGATTCGTGAGCTCAAGCCCCGCATCAGGCTCTGCGCCGACAGCTCGGGATTCTCTCTCTGCCCTTCCCCTGCACGCGTGTACGTGCTCTCTCAAAATAAACTTAAAAAAACTTACAAAAACTCATTCCCACTTTCTTCAATGTGCCTAAGTTCTTGCTCATTGACGTTTTTTCAACACAAAACTGCCCCCAAATGGGTCCTATAACAGGTACTGACACAACACGGAAAGGGTACTTGCAGGGAATGTTTCCCACAGTCCTGGCGGACCCAGGGAGGACCGGAGAAATCCCCGCCGCCCCGCCTGCTGCAGGGGCCCCCAAGGCCTCAGGGCGGTGGGGGGGGACCCACCTCTGCCGCGGGAGGTGTGTGGGAGGTGGAGAGGGCTGCGAGAAGCTCACCTATCACCCACTGGATCCAGATGACGTCGTAGGAATTAGGCTCGGGGCTGAAGTCCTGGAGGCCGCAGCAGAAGTAGTTCCTCACCCTCTTGCCCTCCTCCCCCAGGTAGGTCTTGGCTTTAATCAGAAAGTCTTCGGTCACGTCCACCATATCCACCACTCCAAAGAGCGGCAGGAGCAGCCGCTTGGTGATCCGGCCTATGCCGGCTCCGCAGTCCAAGGCACAGGAGGTCCCCGTCTTGTTTGGGCCTTCCTAAGAAGCAGGGAAGGCACAGACTCCGTGAGGACGGCTCAGAAAGCCAGAGGGACCCTGTCCCCGTGAAGGGACTGTTCCTCCCGAGCTCCCAGAGTTACTCAAATCAGAGGACCGGGCACAGGCTGGGGGCTGGCAGGCGTGGGGTCGTCAGTGGGTAGGAGCGCGGCACGTTCTCGTCCCGGGCCACACGTTTCTAAGCTGAGCGCCAACCTGCACTTACAGGTGAGCGCCTGAATGGGTGCGTTTAATCCCTCTTACTCCCGAGACCCCGTTAAAACAACAGAATGTGAACAGAACTCAAGCAGTGAGAGAATGAAAGGGCGGCCAGGGATTCTCACCCGTTTTCACAGACCTGGGAAGATGGAACGTGGGCGGGGGAACAGCGAGTAGCGTGGGGAGCACGCAGCCTCTGACGCTCACCAGGGGAGAGAGAGGAGGAGGAGGGGGAGGGCCAGGGAGATGCCAGCCCGGCACAGAGGAGGGCAGAGCGGGCGAGGGGGTGAGGAGCTGGGAGCCTGCCTTCAGCAGAACAGCCAATATCATGGCCCAGGGACCCGCAAACTCGGCAAGACAGCAAAGGACTCGGCCTCGGCAGAACCGAACAGTTAAGGGGAGACTCCGTTCTGGTGTCCGGGAGCCCCGGCACGGCGGCCAGCGCCCGTCTGGCAGCCTCGAGACAGAGGCCCCGGTCCACGCGCCACCCCCGCCCCAGCCTTTGAGGCCTGGGTCACTGACGCCAACAGCTAACCAGAGGCCTTGCGGGGTACGCATAAGAGGTGGCGCCCCGTGCAAACCAGGTGGGGCCGCCAGGGCCACATCCTCTGCTCCTGGAGAGCACACCAGACCTGCCTACCCTCAAAAACCTCTGCAGGAACTTCCGGGAGCTGCTGATGTCGATGCTGGAGATGTGGCCATACCCCCCGAGCATGCCGTCCACGGTGGGCGGGACTTCCTTCCAGTACGTCTTAGCCTTCGAATAGAACTGTTTCTCATCTTCGATCACCTCACTCGTCATGCTGTCACCAACCGACTCAGCTCAGGCACCAAACTCAGCAGCAGTGCCTCCTGAACAAGAAAAAGAGCAAATCAACAAGGCAGAGAGCCCCAGTCTCACCTCCACGCTTCAACGGTCACACAACCCTGCCTGCTGCAGGGAAATGTCCAGTGTCCCCAAGACCACGTATACGCGTTGGATGACAGGGCTTTGCCTCTTGTATTCAAGTCATTTTGCAAAGTCCCCTTTGTACCCGAGGAGGAGACCCAGAGTCCTGGGCTGCGAGTCCTTCCCTTACTGTACGTGACACCTGACCCCACGGCTTCTCCCCCTCGGCTAGAGAACCCCAATCTACACTTGAGGAAAGCAAAGCAAGGGGCCCCAGCCTTCCACGATAGACGTCGCAGCTGGTCCCGGGAGGGGCTGGGGGAGTCCACACACCTCCCTCCCTCTCTCTGCTGAGCACAGAATGAAGCTCGCTGTGGGGTCCGGTCCTTTGTTAACCACGAGCCGGACCCTGTGCCAGGCGCTGTGCTGGGAACGGAGGAGACAGCCCCACGGAAACCGCCCCCCCCCCC